TCCTTCCTCCACGTATTTTAATTCACAGGAACAGTAAACAAGCATCCTGCCACTTCCTCACCGAGACAAACCTCAATCTACATTTATGCTTTGAACAGGGTGGCAGCAAAAATGGCCAACGTCTGAATTCAGATGGACCAAATATAGACAACTGTATATTACAGGCCTTCAATTTTGGGAGCCCAGTGCGAGACATCGATACCCTGAATTCCAGAGGTGCTGTGTTGCAGGAACTCAAGGCCAAAACTTCTGTGACCCACAATAAGTGGTCACATTTGAAAGAGGTCAGCCAGGATACTGGTCCCATCAGACTGCATTCAGGGTGGGGGAAAAGGGGTCAGAGAGCATGATTCACCTTCCATCATTAACCCCAGTGAAAGGCGGTATGAGACACCACTACCCCGATGTCACCTGCTCCCATGCTCTCACAACACAAAGCTCCAGGTGCTGAAGAATTGGGCCCTTCTCCTTCATTTGGCTTCAGGAGTGAAATCAAACCTACAGAATCTCAGGAGGCTGAAAAAAGTCAGAAGGCTTTGAAGGAACAGATCTGCAACTGCATCAGCACAAAGCCAAGGAAGTCAGTGACACTATATGGGTTTACGGACTGGGCCCTGTGATCTTAGCAGAACCTGTTAATGCCCTGCCTCGATTTGGGACATCCATGCACATGCTCCCAAACTAGCTTGTGCAGCTCCAGGCCTGCTACCCAGACAAAAAAAAAAGACGCAAAAAGGAAGGTGCCAAGAACTCACAGGTCTGAGCAAAATGCCCTTGTGACTAAAATTGCAGGCAGCAGGGAGCAGTGGGGGGAATCCCCCGATTTCAAGATTTCTCTATGGTATTTGCGGCACTCTGCAACACTGCAAATTCCTGAACAAACAAACAAGCCAAGGAAACCCAGCTGGAAAGCAGCAAGTTTCTCTCTTTCTCCAGCAGCCAAGCTCCACCCTTTGCTGGGGAGACTGACAGGCTGTTGCCCTAATTAGCCCCACGCAGCATGGGGGCAAATTTAGCCAAACATTTCAATTCAATCCTCTTTTCCCCCCACCAACCAGGAGCAGGCATGGTTTTCAGCACCTCCTGGGGTCACTGGAAGACATAGCCCCCCATCTCTCCACCCCTTCCCCATGCTCTTAAAGGGGAAGGAAGCAAGGATATTACATGCAAACAAACTGACAGCCGCACTGAACAGTCGAAACCAGCCAGAAATGTGAAGAGTCAGCAAGTGACCACGTTGTAGGGCACCGCCACATTAGACACACCAGGGCCAGGCTCCGCTGGGGCGCACCTGATCCACCTACAGCCTAGTGACCTTTGCTCCCCTGTTGGGCTTGATTCAGCTAAGGGAACCTTGGCTCAACAGCTGGGGCTGGGCAGGCAATGCACCCTCCTTTTGCAAGCTCAGATCCTTCTCGTTTCTCCTGCACCAGGCAACAGTCCTGGAGACCTCCAGCTCTGGGCTGGGATGGAGCTGTTCCATTCACCCAAGGGGATGGATCTCCACTTCCCTAAGATCTCAAAGTGGATCTGATCTGATCTCCCAGCCAGGGGAGCAGGGGAAAGCCAGGGCCCCTTCGGCCGCTTTGTGGGGATAGTTCTCCACCCCCATCCCTAGCCCCTAGCGCAGATCAGGACACTGGGAATGATCTGCATTGGGGG